ATTATAGCAGAATCATGTAATAATACTTTCATTAGATTATATAATAAATGTAATGTGCATATTAATATGTGTATATTATTGTTTGTATTATGTAGCGCACATATATCTTTATATTTAAACACACATATAAATTGTATATCCTATTCATATGTATAACGTAATTTAATTATTTAAAAATACAAAAAAAAAACATAACCTGATTAATATTTTCATTTAAATTGGAGTGCTCGTTGAATAGATATAGCTTTTGGAACTATTTATTTAAATTTGCATATATATATAAATATATAGTTATAAATATATATATATGTACATTTGTATATACTGTCACTTACTTGCAGTAATAGAGCCTGCCATCCTTTGCCAAATGCACTGTCCAGCCAGCTTTGAGTTTTTCCTGGACTGCGTCCAAGTGGCGATCAATTTCACCCCAATTTCCGATGGGAGCGTTGCCCGCATGGCTTGGTCCCAAAATCGGGCCATAGAGGGCGCCAGCCCCGAAATCCGTGTTAACGGCGTTCACACTGGCCGCCGCTGTTGTTGCTGTCGCTGTTGCTGTCGTCGAGATTGCCGTTGTTGTCGTCGAGATTGCCGTTGTTGTCGTCGTCGCCGAGGCTGTTGTTGACGTCGTTGCTGTCGCCTGTGTTCCGGTCCCCGGCAGACTTCCGGCCGTTTCTTGTGCTAATGTCGCAGCAAAGGCGGCGGAGGAGTTGGTGCGCAGAGCTGTGTGGGCGTTGGCGCCGCCACCGCCTCCGATGCCTCCGCCATTTAACGTTTGCAGCGTCGTCAACTGTGGCGATGATGTTCTTGTCAGTAACAGGGGCTTGGATCCGCCTACGCTGGACGCTGAGGCGGTTGTTGTGTTGACATTTTGCAACGGATATACATCACTATTCGAACGCCCCGAAGGCAGTAACATCATTGAAACACATTCGCTGCCATGCAAGAAAGAGAGAGAGAGAGTGAGATAGAGATGAATGGGAGTTGAGGCGCACACATTTTACTCTCGTGAGAGTTGGTCACAAATCACATTCCACAACGTTGACCCACTTTGGCAAACAAGCTCGTCTGGATAAGCTGGGTCGGGCTGCGCCTGGATGGCCCATAAGTCAACATATCAGCTGCATCTGCATTGGCGTTGCCTTTTGCGTCAACGTGTGGCCGTAGTTGCAAAACAGGTCTCTCAAATCCCAGACTGTGACTGCGACTGTGACTGTGACTGCCACTGAGATCACTAGCAGATACACTGTGGGATAGGTTCAGGTTCAGCGCAAACTTGCTCGGGCCAAGTTGAGCGCCTTGCTTGTAATGTTATGACACAATTTCGGATTTGGACTTTGCAGCTCTTGCACAAGTGGGAGCAGGACGGCCGCTGAACTAGTCCAGTATAACAGATTAAACTGTCTGCTTTATACAGTTAGCTATAAACAAACTGGCTCGAGTACCAAATTGCTTTTCACTCAACTTTTGAATTGGCTCACTGGATCAAGGACAGCGGGCTTCATAGCTCCGTTAACATTTATTAAGCTTTAGGTTGATCATATTGTAAACAGCATGCGCTGCTGCCATGATTATAATTTGCCCAGCAACCCAACCGCAGTGCGCGAAAGCATTTTCAGTTATTTAACCAAAAGCAGCCAAAAGGCGTTCAGCGTAAGACTTAAGCTCGACCAAATCGGCTTTAATGCTGCCAGCTTGGAGTTCTAATGCTGTGAAGCGCTTTCAGGTAATTGACCAAAGCTCTTAAGCGGCTGTCTCAGAATTAGGTATTTTATACATACATATTGTAATCTAGCCAGGCTAAGCTGCTAGAGCCTTATTTGGCGTGATAATCTACGGTTGAATTTTAGTTCTTTAAATTATACAAAATAAAGTTGTGTTTGGCGGAGGCTGAGAATTGGTAACGGATATTTTATTAATTTATCAGGGATAAAAATAAGATTAAATTAAAACTTAAGCACTTGCAATTGGGGTCTTTGGGCGCTTTGCATGTAACGGTTGTTTTAATTATGTTAAATGTTTACAAAGCGAACGATATTTAACTTTTGAATTTATTTCATAGTTTCAACAGTAAAACTTTTTACCATTTTGTTTACCTTGGCAGAAAGTTGAATAATTTTAAATCAGGACTGAATGCTCTTGATATTTTTTAGTGCTTACATGAGCTGCATTTTTCTAACGAGTTTTGCGTTTGTGGCCTGCACAGATAGCAACAGAGATATGTCAACGCCCGGATGAATCCAAACAAAGAGCCAGAGAGTGACAACTAGTCAAAACAACAACAACTGCAATGGAATATATGTGATTGTTTGCTTTCATTCTGGCGAACTTGAAGTCGGATCTGCTTTTGGAGTAGTAAGTTACAGAGAAAGAGAGAGGGACACAGCGAGTGAGAGAAAGAGCTGTGGCATCAATAAATGCGGCACGGTAAGCGGAGCGCAAACAGGGCGATGTTCATTAAGCGACGCCGTTAAGGACCAGTAGCTGGCGAAGACGATGATGAGCATGATGAACAAAATGACGACGACGATGACGAGGCAGGAGGCAGAGCTAAGTAACGGCTTGGCAAACAACGGCAACTGCTGCCAACTGGCAACGACATGGTCAAGTTCTCTCCTCTGCTTCGAATATAATTTTAAATTTTTTTCTTCGTTTGTGCTGTAAACAACTTTACACATATGCACATGAAAGAGGGAGACAAACACAATAGAGAGAGAGAGAGGGAGAGAGAGAGAGAGAGAGAGAGGGGAGAGAGAGATGGGAACTCTATACACATACACTTATAAGTAGATAGAGAGAGAGGAGAAAAACTGGAGCATTTGAAAAATGTTTTGAATTACATTTTTTTTTGTCCAGCACTTTTTGAATTTGTCTTTGTTTGGAGTGGGGACAAGAAGACAAGTGCGAAAATGTTGATAAAGTTTTTTTGTAGCTAATGCATCAGCATATTTTAAATGTTTTGCAAATAATTTAGCTTGTGCTGTGCCTTGCCTCTCTGTTCACTGGCATTCAGAACATTTTAAAAATGTCTGTGAACAATTTCTTGGCCAGCAAAAGCTGAAGAATAATGCTAAACTAGCCGGTTAAATAAAATGCTCTGCTTGATAACACACGAAATTTTAATGTTGTCAAATATAATACCAAATAAATTTATTCATTCAATTACAATTTAATTAGTTTATTATATATTGCTTAAATTTTATTATAATAAATTTTTTAGCAAACTTTTAGTCAATGCTCAATAAACTCTCTTTTTCATTTTGAGCGAAGTTAAGCATATCTAAGTTTATTTAGTTGAGGTTAACATGCGTTTAAAAAACTATTCAAACTAAAATCGAAAAGGTGTACTAACATTTTGTGATGTGGTTGCAGTAAATGCTTTTGTGCTGAACCTAAGTGTAAGCGATACGAGTGCTAGATACATTTGGTCACGGAGCTCAGCCCGGAATGGGAAGGAGGCAAGGGGCAGGGGAAACACTTCCAGCGAATGATTTGTGTCAACAGCAGCGACAGCTGTAAAATGCTCATGCAGAGACCGGCAAGCAGAAAGAGAGATCAAAACAGAGAGCAAGAGACGGAGAGAGAAGAGCAATAGTTGGCCAAGAATCAAGCAAGACCCGGCTGTGGACAATTGTAAAATGGCGTTGCGGAAATTGTGCGAGCAATGAAAAGAAATGAAAAGATGTCGTCGACTGTCGACACCTCGTGATAAGGCGATAAAAAATGTGAGCGAAAGCACAAAAAAGAAAAAAAAAAAATAGAATGTCACAAATTACATCGGCTAGCGCCATATTGAATAGCACAAATTGCTCCAGTTCCATCAGCCACACAAAAACCAACCTGTGAGAGCTCTACAGATCCCTTTGCCCCACTCCATCCTAAGAGCCCCCTCCGCCACTCTATTCAATTATCAAGCAAAAATCTGCACAGCAAAAGAAATTAAACACAATTAGTATCTTTGTCTCATTTCTTCGTTTTTATTACTATTTGTACTTATTAAATACGGGCAGCAATTTGCCAAGCTGCCATTTTCCATTATCAAACAGCACGGCGTGGGGAGCTCGCGGGCAATGCTATCTATAGATAATGCTGCATTATGGAGCCCCGTGCTCAACATGGCGCTCGTTACTTTTGCTTTTACCAATTATGATCAACGTTGCTCGCATTGTTAATTGAAAAGAAATTACAATAATAAAATGATATCAAGAAATGAAAGTTGTCTAGCTGCTGCATGGTCCGGTCTGTATACCCTACAGAATATTATAAATAGATGGAAATCCCACTTGAATAATATCAATATATCAAATAATATTAGGTCGTAAATATCTGATTATATATATATATATATATTTTTTTTTTTTATTATTATTTTTACAACCATTTTTTCAAATTTCATTAAAAAAAAAATACAAATTTTTTCATGGGGTTGGTCAACTTTTCCACTTCTAGAACACATATAACTCGCATGTAACGGTGCAACGGTTGGTTCTCTTCAGTTGTTCAGTTTGTGATATATGAAAAGTGCATAAGACGAGAGACACATATCTCTTTTGTTGAGGGCAGACTGTATTATCAAGCATAATGCGCGCTGAGGGCATTACTTGATTGCATTCAAATTGCTCGACGGCAATTACTTTCTTGCCATTGTCATTGTTGACCGTCGTTCACTTTGATTACGATTCGCTCAAAGTAAAAGTGGAAAATGTTGTCGCCCACTTCGCGACACTCACCCAAAATGTAACCTATACTATGTAGCGCTGGCATGTCGCTTGGAATCGTAAAGCCAGAGCTGCCTACCGAATTGCAATAACCGCCGTGTGCACGTCATTTACCGAGATCGTTATAAGTATGCGCACATAGCTCGTCGCCCGTATAGTCAACAAAATATATCATGGAGCTTGTGTGGTAGTTGAACGTGATTTTAAAAATGTCACGAACAAAACTGTCGGCAACGCCAACCAATAAATAAATAAATTTCCAACCGCTTGCCGGCAGGAATATCCATAATAAAATGCTCGAAGCGCTGATAAAAAACTCAATCATAAAACTTGGCTTTCGCGCTGAAGGCAAAGTCAGCGATAAAAATTCGAGATGAAACCAGTAGCAGCAGCTTGGCATAAAATAAAGGTGAGCTGAGCATTTGCCCACCAGTTTAAGAAAATATAAATCAGAGAAGGGCGAATCATAATGCTATATTTTATATTTTATTATTTCTACATTATTATTATTTATTATGTATTATCTTTTATTATGTATATACATTATTTATATTTTATTATTTATTATGTGGTTCTTATTTTTTATTATATATTATTCATTTATTATTTATTGAACTCTATTAAGTGATGTCATTGACAGACTAGGGATAAACTTATTAATTAAAGTTGACATAACTCTTTAATCTGTGCAAGATCTTGGCTATGAACGTTGGCTCCTATAAAACTTGAAAATGATTGCTCATCCATTAATGCATAGACAGTCCTGAGGATAGCTATGGGCGACTGCATAACTCAACTTAGAAAGAGACTTGGACTCGAGTAAGTGCCTTGAGATTTTTCATTTTTATTGAAAATATTACTACCATACTTATATATACATATATATATTTTACATTTGTACTTTACGTGAATATTACACAGTCTTCAGACATTACCACCACATTCAATTGCATCACCTAAACTGAAAGAATTTTGTATTGTCTTTCATTCAACATTACCCAAAAATGTCAAATATTTTTAATTATCGTTACACTTGACAGAAAAAGCGCCTGAAAATGCTTGGAAGCAGGAGGAATTCATTTTTGGGTTTACCTTAAATCTCTGAAGAAAGCTAACAATCACTTAAGTTCTGTCTAGTTTATGCACCTCTGTAATTTATATTTCTCTTTAGTACAGATGTACGATTATATATGATTATATGTACGATTATATAGATAAATATCAATTGAAAATTTTAGAAGATAATTAAACAGTATATAATGGAATATCAATAAAAGATAGCTACAGAGTACTTATCTCTCATTTGTTATGCTGTTTTTACTATAAATTAATAATATTAGAGGTGAAGAACTCAAAGAATAATTGAATGTTACAGCTTGTTCTGGTCATGCTTTGAATCCGGCTCATTAACAGACACATTTAGTTCGCCCGACAGAGCTTCGCACTCAATGAGAGAAAACACAGGACAGCACAACTTTTGTTTGGTTCTCTGCAGACGCTGTGTCGCATCATTTATCAAGCTGGGTTGAACTTTTAATTGATATACGCGCACAACAATGACCAAGCCACACACACACACTCATATGGATGGCAAACTTGATCTGGTAATGACCTTTTAACAAGTTTGAGTAACAAAACCTAATCACACATCCATCGAAGACAGCCCGCAACACTCGATTGATTGACTGCGAAAGAGCAAGTGGAACCATGAGTAAGTGGATAAGTGACACACGATGGCATGCCGTATTGACAAAACTTTTTAATAAACAAACACAACTGTCACATGCAACAGCAGCACAAATGCTGTCGAACCACCTGGCGTGTCGCGCCTCTCACCTGAGCAATGAAATGCAATTTTCACGTACAAAAGCCACATCTCATGGAGGTTGGCTTTTTGACTACCCTGATTGATTTCAACGTATTTATCAGCTGGCTGCCTCAACTTCCACGACCTGACATCCTCAATCTATTGCCCATTTCGTTTCGCATTCCCATTTCGTTTCCCCACATACGCATCATACTTTGGCCCTTGTTTTCGCCGTGCACGTGCTCAGCCACATGTGGAATCATTTTTCTGGTGTCACGAATCGAGTTGCTCACAATGCCTAAGAGGATTATTCGAGCCGACCTCCGCTTGGCCTTAAGGCGGTTTCTCTTCCCAGCCAACTAAAGTGCTAACAGCCAGTGCTGCGGCAAAGAGAGGCCTTTACTTGGCCTTTAACCAGGTCTTAAAATATCTTCATATGTACGTTGGATATTTCTGATATACAACGGATTGCTATAACGAAGGCTTTATAAAAACATATTAATGAGAAATTTATATATACATTTATATATACAGAGTATTTATTATACTATTATTTCATGGCATGTACAACATACTTATATATCATTAATGAGTTTAACAGAGCTTTACTGTTGTATTTATACATATATGTATTTTATTTACTTGTACATTATGCATCTCTACAGTTAATTTGATTGTATTAAATCCATTTGTATGTTCAAACTTCACCTTATTCATATATTTGGGTCCAACCGTACAAATATTGTATTCAATATTGACACAATGTGTCGTATACGTAACGTGTGCTAAATACTTAACAGCACGTGGTAAATCGACCGATTGACCATTTGACCATTATGTTTGTCAATATGTTAATTGAACGCTAAGAGCAAAAGCAATTTGCAATTCAAAGTAACTCAAATCTCGCACATATCCAAACAAATGTTTACCAAACAAGCCGAATTAAATTTTCCAATTGGGGAACTTAAACAACAATTTAAGAGCTGTTCGGAGCAGACAACACTTGAATGCCTCAAACAAATCCCTGAACGCATATAAGAGTTGGCAATTTGTTTTTAAAGTGCGACATTTGCTTAAAATGGCCCACTAACACTTCAACCAGCCAAATGGCACCGAGAAACAGCCAAGCACAACAACACAGAGGTAAGAGTCAGTTCTGAGCATAAAAGTCCCGCTATATCATTAACAGCTGCTCGCATGATACAGGCGACAAATAATGAGGCTCACGCCTACAATGGATGTAACCGAAAAATTTCAACTGTTCGCTGTTCATTTATTTCTGAAAATATCAATGTTAAGATAACATCAATATGTTAGGTAAGCTCTGCAACTGTAAAGCAGAAATGTTGAGCCCAGCTAAGCTGTGAAACTGAATATTTTATGTAAGCAGTTGATACCTAATATATGTTAATTCGGAAGGAGGATAATTATGTAAAGTAATCAGCTTCAATAACTGTTATGCAATAAATTTAAAGTAACAAATTAAGATTTAATTATGATTTTCATGGATAATTTTAGATAAATAGGTAATTATTAACTTGATAGATTTTCTAATACTAATTTATTACAAGATATACGAACTTCTAGCAGATCTAAAATTTTGCTCATTTATTCCATGGTTCAATACACTCACCCATTCAAAGACATACAGATATATAGGGACAACAATTATACGCGATGCTGTCGCTAATGTCTATGAATGAACTCCTTGACACAATTACGAGCACACGCACGCACAATTACACACGCACAAGGAGGAGGGGGAGAAGGAGGCGCGAGTCTTGCTAGAATTGGGATGGCTTAAAAGCAACTTGTGAAACATTTCAATGCCAAAGCAGGTGACAACATTTTCGTAAACGTCTCCTGCCGCCCCCAGCCCTGTTCGCGCCCACGCGACCTAAAGTGACTTGGAGGCTGCTCAAAATAATGGACACAAATTGCAAAGTTGTTTAATGTGCGGACCGAGACCCCACAGCAATTTGTCGTCCTTTATTTTCGAGCAAGAAGCATGCGGCATGCAGCCCGCGTGGGGGACATGCGGCCAGCTACCAAATGTTTCAAATAGAGGCCGAGTTATTGATTTTGTGAATTTAACGGTTTTACGGTTTATTGGCCAAGCCAATTGTGCGCCATTTGTTTTGCCTTTAGCCAACGAGCTTTGCCTGCTCACTAAACTATAATGTCATTTCGATTTGGCCATCCACAAATCGTTCGTAGTGCTCGGTTTCCCAGAAGTGTTCCCCAATAGACCAATTTACCATATTGATTAAATGAGAATATTACTTTCAGAATGTGGAGCAGTCATCATTGGCTAATAACACAGCATATATATCATTATTTATAAGGTATATTTGTAAATGTTAGACATTCTACAGTCTATATAGACTGCTATTTCATTTCAAAATTATTATGAATTGAATTTTATTTATCTAACTACTTGATATGGGCTGGTTCATAACTAAATAAAATTACAGTACAGTAGCATTCGGTTACGACGGTTAACGACTCTTCTTATAGCGTCCGTACCGTAATTCTGGCCCGCAGACAAACTTTTATGAGCAATAGGTCACTTTCACTTATTTAACATTAATTGATAGTGTATAGGTAATTCGATCAGGTGACAACTTGTTTCTCATCTTCTACCGCCTTGGAAATAGGCGCTTATGCTACACGTCAAGCAATACCCGAGCAGTAGGTGTGTAGATGTGTATTGAAGGCAAGCAAGCAATTTACTGCATACATCGAGGGCGTTCCGATAGCAATTTAGCCCTGCGGTCACGGGGCTAAGCTGAATGGGGGACGGAGACGGGAGGGAGAAAAGCTGTTGGGCGTTTCCAGTCAGGCGGCACTAACAATAAGACGCAGCAAGTGAACGACTTAGGCTATCAATGAAGAGTCATTTGACCTTTACCCCTCTCCCCCCCGCCTAGTTAACAGAACAATGTCGTCGACGCTGCCAATGCCAATACCCTTGCCACACACACACACACACAAACAACAGACTGGAGCAGAGTCTGGTAGAAGTACGGAATCTCAAACTGAAGTCAACTTCATGGCATAACTTTGAACTTATTGCACGGCACTCACAGATTCCAATGCAGACAAGTTGACAAATATTTTGCAAAAGCTAGGCGAAGCAGAAAGGAAGGCAAAACGACGCGTGCAAATGAGGCCAGACAAACCCTTTTTCAAAAGTAATAAATAAATATTAAGGCGAATTTTTCGGCATTGTATTAAAATCAATAAGAGATCAATGAAGAACTCAGTCATAATCGTATGCTCTACGAGTGTCGTAAGATTAAATTTCACTCTTATTATAATAAGACTGACGAGGAAGAAACTGTTCCAATTCCAAATTAAAACATCTGGAGAAAGTAATCCACTCCCAGGTATACTTAGTGTGATTAAGCGACACATCTTCTTCTTCGTTTTCTTGTCCATTTTAACTTTCGTCTTGAGTAAACTTTGATTCCCAATGCACAATCACGTGCGAATGAGCACCATGCACAAACAGGGCATGGCATAAGGGTATATACTCAGGTATGAATACAAATATAGAGCTGAATATAGATTGTAGAAGGAATCATGTGACCTGTTACAACGGCCTGATGGAATGAGCATATATATATATGTATATATTAAGTATAACCGAAAGTTAATGATATATATATTGATTTAAATGTTAAAAATGAAGCAAAGTAAAAAATATATATTCAGTCAATGTGAAATTCTGACATTTTCTGCACAGGGATAAAATTTTGATAGATCTTCAATTAAAATGGAATTACTAATTTCAACTGTCCGCAAAAAAACCATTTCGCTCTTAATGCAGGTAGATAGTTTTTATTGATAAATACATACATGCGTCAGCAACATCAATATTTATAGAAAGTTCGAAATGACAAAAGTAGGTAATTGAGTTACCGTTGATCTCCTTTACTTATTTATCAAAAACAAGTGCGTTCTCTTGAGTGGTGGCACAATTAGCTGAATCTTCTACAGCTTTTGAGCCTTAGTTAGAAAATATTACAGTTAAGTTATTGTAGATAATTATCCAAAAGCAGATTATATATTACGCGTGTATTGAAGGTCGCGTAAAACGGTATGAATCCACATTGAAGTCCGCTTTAAAATCCGAGTTTAGTGACTACATTATTTAGTAACAAGTGAAAAAGCTCTAGTCGAGACTGCTCGACTACGACATCCCCTGAACCCTTCCAGCAACTGATATTTCAATAGTTATTCGCACATGCACACCCACACGCACGCCCACATAAACACGCATGGGCTGCAGTGCGCGCCTACTATGAGAACTTAAGTGTTTAATAACTTTTCTTGTGGGTGTACTTTCAGATTATGATTATAGCGTGGATATGCATTTGCCAAAGCACAAGTCTCTAGTATTTGAAATACGCCTATTACAAATATGTGGGTGAGGCGGTGAATATAGGGGTGGGGGGTAAATTTGGACAAAAATCGAAATT